TTCTAAGGAAAAGAACCAGTACCTACGTAAGAACCTACCTAAGAACTATTAGTAAATCGGACCAATTAAATACATTAATATCTAGTCCCGAGGTTATTGATCTCTTGCTTTTGGATTTTCTCGTAAAACAAACAACTTTTTGTTATTTAATATATTACGCATTCTCTAAATAATGATTAGTATATCTATTAACATTAGAAGGAAATGTGACGAAAATCACACAATGTTGGGGTTTTGGTCATTTGTAATTTTATTTTTTAAGTAGGTAGGCCATGTATTCTATGGAAAAGTACCGGTATCAAGGATCGTCGTCAAAAAGGTTGTTATGAATAAATATGTAGGCTTACGTACCCAAGATATGAGCTATGGGCCTATTGGCTGTATGGTCCAGCGATTGCATCACACGGTGAGTAGAAACAGAAAGTGACACATCGGAAAAGCGAGTTTAGCACTTCCTCTGTTAAACCTCTGTTACAATCACCCACTGCAGGTGTGATTTTTTACTTTACACTTTACACAACCGCCATTGAAGCGCCGTCAATGAGTGGAAACCTTTTTTGTAAGCTATTGGCGACGATCATTTCAGTGTCACAGCCCTATACAGCACTGATTCAAGGTCTTCTTCTTTCTGGTTGTCAAAACTCAAGAAACATTTTATACTCAAAGAATTTCTGGTTCCGATTTGGACGATGTCTAGTTATTTAATTTCATTTATGGTTACACTATTAGACTATATTATTGCACTTGCGATTAATTAAATCCGTTATGTAAGAAAAACGTTTTTAATCTCACTTGGTTGGGATTTGCTTTCAAAACGTGATTCGAAATAGTTGCGGTATTTGTAAACAACATTTGTAAACATGTCATTGACAGCTAGAAAAAATAATCTTGATCCGAACAGCTGTTCGTTATTTCATAGACGATTATGTGATAAAAATTGAACGAAAATTTGACAAAAATCGCACAAAACTACATTTTTGAACGTCCGTAATTTTATTTACAAAGTAGTGAGGCTATATTTAAATCACTAAAGACACTCTCGCCAATCCAGTGAATACATTAAAATGACTTGGATCTTGATATGTACTCTGGTTTTCACGGAGAAGATTGCGTAAAATGCCATCTTGAGTGTTACAGACAAAGGGACAGACAGACAGACAGACAGAAATTGAGATAAGACTCGTTTCTGCTTCTTTAATGTATAAAACGTAAAAATAACCTAAAAGTATATAATTCTGAGCAATGTACAGACAAAACTCTAATTTTATTTATATAGATGTATCTTAGTATTAATTAATATTGACACCATTCTATGTACAGAGTACTAATATTGAATAAAGATTTTATTGATTGATTGATTGATTAAGTGAGCATTAATGGGCAGCCTATTGAACAGTCTATACCAGTGTCTTCGTATGAGGACTGCACCTTTTTCAGTCTGATGTGGGCCCTACCTTCCCCACATGCCTAAATAAGAGCTGATTATTTGGTTTTAAAACTATTTGATTTCATTCCGCATTAAGTCGAGTAGAAACAGCTGTTTGCTCTCCTTAGGTCAGTCCTTAGTCCACATACGGAGCCGTGCAGACCACGCTATATAACCATCAGTACCGCTCAATGAACCTTAAGATTTGTAATCTTAACCTTCGTTTTACGGCCACTTAGGAATCTCTCCAACAAAAACATTTCAGGATTCAGCGTGAACAAAACAGTAAGTAGACATCCAAATATTACATCATATAGGCTACTCCCAGTGTAGATATAAGTTAGGCAGTAAATAATTGTCAAATGAAGGTTTAATAAGTTACTGTAACTTAATCGAATCGATAGGCCTAGGCCTAGTTGAAATCGATATTAGGGGTACAGTTTTTTAACTGGGCTGTGCTAAGTAATACCAATTGAAACTATCGATTCGATTAAGTAAACCTTCATTAGATTTTTTTCACTACGGTATCAGCAAGTAGGGCCGGACTTACCTATGGGCGGAGGGGGCGAACGCCCGGGGCCCCCTTAAGCGCCCCCTTGCACATTAGTTTTTATTAATAACCTCGAAAATTGATCAGACACTTACCAAATGGCCTTATTTTGTAACAGCTTTATTTTTATTTTCGTTATCCTATATTTAAGGTTATTGTTAGGTGCATTTTAAGGCATTACTAGGAACAAAATTCTTGAACCTAAGGGACTTTTCCTCAGAGTTACACTGGGCCCCACGCTTAGGCCTGGTTTACACGAGCATACAGTATGTGCTAGGCTGTGACGGACAAGTTTCAGTTTCAATGAAGCCGCTCGCCCGAACATGATAATGATAATGAGCTGATAAGGGATCCTGTCTAGTCCTGTCTGTCTCACGCACGTGCATACACACACATAAAATGCCTTATCATCGCCTATCCAAAACAAAATCACTTTACTCCCATAGTTTGTCCTTTGAGACTAGTGGTCATGTCAAGTTGGTTGAAATTGTCTTACTTTTGTGTTATTTTATTGTAATTCTCCAAAATAACAGTACAAAAACAAAGCTGAAGTGAGTAATGTTGTATTCAATGCTATGTTGTATTAATCGATATTGGATCCATTTAAACATCTTTCAGTTACTCATATAAATAGTTAGCTTGTGAGTGTTTATTGGACATTGCAAGATTTTGCTCGTAAATAAAAAACTCAAACTTGAAAGTCCTCAATGGTACTTTTCATGCTAGGACTTTAACATATTATAAAAACGAGAATGCCATAGATACCAAAACCATTATGAAAATAAAATAATCACACCTATATTGTAGTAATATTGAAAAATCATACAAATAGACGGCAATAATCGATAATTTAAATACGTAATAAACAAAAATATATCAATACTTCTAATCCAAATATATTATGGTACCCTACCATGCTACCATATTAAAATATGCCGTCGCTGGTACTACAAAGCAATTGAAACATTTGGTCAGAGTTTGTTTAAATAGTGAATGCAAGAGATTAGGTTTCAAACATTTTTATTTTTTGTGTATGAAATTAAAAGATGCTGTATATCCCTCCAAGTGTCCATAGTTTAGGCCTTAATGTCCACCTATTTTTGGCCCCTTTGCAAGGTTTTATTAAAACGGATCTGAGAAGCTTAAAAAATTGTTAATTCTAATGTTCTATATACCATTTTGTTTGGAAAATCATGGGCTTCAATATTATATATAAAACATAAGGAACATTTTTTCAAAAAAAAATTTTTAGGTAAAAAAAATATAATTTTGAAAATTTTCAAAAAAAAAATAAGTTCGCGCTCAATGAAATTGTATAAATTATAGGCCTATAAATATTTGAAAATAGCCACTTTGTTCTAAATTTAATGAGGATTACAAATATATAATCATATAGCGAGGTAAGTTATCAAATAAATAAGTTATGAGCGAAAAACGGATTTCAGTACATAGCGTTTAGCTAAGAATGCATAGCCTAACCATAGCTAGGAATCTGGCTGATAAATTTACATCAATATCACTACCTACTTCTTCAGGATCATCAACCAGCACTTCAAAACCACTTAAATCTTCTTATAATGCACCACGTATATCACTACTTTTGATTTTTAACACTAAAACAATGATAAACGTAATAAAACACATCAGTCATCGGTCCGGGGGAACCTAGCTGTTTACAAATACACGCACGTCAGCTGTCTGCTACAATATTTTCGGAACTAAAATGAATAGCGCTTAGAGACAGACCTCTGGAGAAAGCTTAGAATATTACGGAAAGAACGATACCTAACTCGATCCAGTTCAATCCGATTCAGTCAGTCATAGAGCCTTCGCCGTAAACGATGTTTGTGCGTCTTAAACTCGACGCGTGACCCTACACAAAGTGTGTTGTGCGTCTATTTTTTGACGCGTGACCCTCGGAGGGATATAAAAATATGTTAAAATAGTTATATTTTAAGAACGATTTTTGATATAGAACTTATTGCTTATTTGGCCTTAAATTGCTCTATTTGAAGCCTAAATTTAGAAATTTTTCCCGGGGGAAGACCCCCGGGCCACCCCCCAATCCCCCCAGAGGACCCCCCCCCCAAACTGAAATCCTAGGGCCCCATCGAAAAATTTGCCCGGGGCCCCTGAAGTCCTAAGTCCGGCCCTGTCAGCAAGTTTTGTTAGTTAGGTTAGGTGGAGTTTAATTTTATACTTAATTGATAGGTAAAAGTAAATAGGTTATAGATTATCAATTACGATATTTTTAATTTCAAAAATAGTTCCAATTGATGCATAGGCCTAGGCTAACTTAGGTAACTTACACCTAGCCCAGTTAACACGTTCACTGCAGGCGTATCCGATCGGATACGGGCCGAGCGCTGTTCAGGTGCTGCCGTAACAGATGGGATACGCTCGGCAATGCCTTTCGTATATCATAGTTTTTGCTCTAGCGTCGGTCGAAGGCGGACCTATACCACGTTAGCGTGTAGTGGGTGACTTGCTTTTTCTTGTGTTGTAGGTTGGTAATAAAATTTCCCCATAAAATCCCTGTCTGGAAAACTTAAAAATCAACTTGTTGTCCCGTCTTTCTCCCTCAAATTGGCAATACTATGGGACCGACTACGTTCCAAGCAGTGCTGCTATCTGTGAGTGTTTAGCGAACCACGTCGACTCTTGTTATAAAGCAGGACATCACCGCACGTTATTTGCTATTCCTCATACCGAAATATGAGAGCCAATAACCCGGCAATCGGGTTTGTTCGACGCTGCGGGTACGCCTGCTGTTTGATGGCCCGCAGCGAACATGTTAAGAAACTGTACCCTGATGTTTTAGGCATAAACCTAAGTATAGCCTAATCTGAGTAACACTTTGATAGGTAAATTAAAATCTTAGGGCTAACCCAAGACTAAGGTGTTTTAAATTGCATTCAACAAATTTGGTAATAGGCCTAACATAATAAAAACTTATCGAAACATTATTCAATAGGACTCTCGTTCTGAATTTAGTAAACGTAAATTACATAAAAATCAACTTACGTCAGAGGATTCATTATCACAATTAAATCATCCCTTACAAATAGCCTGTGGGCCTATTTGGAGTGGGCATGGTTAATATGTTAATACTGAATTTATCTATCCTACGTTGATGTAGCCCTAGTTTGTTCTTGGTAGCTTGGGAGTGTGGTATAAATAATAAGATGAAGGTGGACGACAGTCAAATCAATCAAATCCAAATCTCAATCACACAGAATGTAAGTAGCCTAATAAATAGGGATGTTGCGATACTATCGATACCAGTAGGTATCGATACTTTTATTGCGATACTGCTGGTATCGTATCGGTATCGGTTGTTCCGATATTTACTTGGTATCGATACCAAGAGGCCAGTATCGTATCGTAAGTATCGGAAGGTAATTTCTGACAAATCTGAGTAAAATGGCCACGCTCGTGCCTTGCGGTTGTTTTCCAAGGCTGAAGGAACAGTAACCCAAAAAAGAAACAGACTTTAACCCGATTAAATATTTTGTTTTTTTGTCTAGCTTACTGATTAAGGTTTTAGTAAATTATGATTCACTATTCTTTCATAGAACTTTACATAGCTATAAGTAAAACCATTGACTATATATACCTGCAATACTGTAGTTATATATAGTCAATGGTAAAACCTAAGGTATATTATTTCAAGTCAATTTTAGCAACGTTGTGTTAGGCAAATAAAATGAAACCATGGACTATTTAACATCAAATAAACTAAAAAGATGGCACTTAAAGTTATTTAACTAAATTTTTTTTTTCATTTTAGGCTGATGGTACAACACATTTGTAAACACAAATGTATGTGTAGGCCTATGCGTTGGTAATGTAATAAAATTGTCTTTTAAAGAGATAAATTATATAGGCTTAGAAGAACAAGGTACTTGAACTTTTACTTGAAGGTAACTTTGAAAACAAAGGTTGGCTAATGGCTATGTTTGGTTAATTTTATCATTTTTTTTACATAATTAGGTAGTTTTTAGCAAGGCTTATTGGTTCTTAGCAGCTCGAATTCGATTCCTATATTGGCTGTACTGTACTGGAGCGAGTGAACTTTAATCAAAGATCAGTGAATCAGAATATGACGTCACTGGTATCGAATGAGTACGATACTGACGGTATCGATACTTTAGTTCCGATACTGAGCCGGTATCGATACTTTTTTGCGATACGGTATCGATACCAAATATCGGAAAGACAGTGGTATCGCAACATCCCTACTAATAAAAACCACTAGATGGATGTAAACAAAACAAACGATAAGATTGATGAATGAAGCAATGAAGGGAAGGAGGGAAGGGAAGGGGTCAACTAAAACCAGTGTTTCGTTTCCACTGTTTCCAGTTTCCACACGACACGACCAAGAAAATAATCCCGCTTACTGGGTCCAGAAATCCCGTTTTATCCCGCTTTTAAATTGGAAAAAATCCCGTTTTATCCCGATTGATTTTGTTGTACAATACCTCAAAGTCAAAGTCAAAATAATCTTTATTCGTATTAATACATTGCAGCATCAGAATAGAGTCACATATAACTAAAAATCACATACTTTCATGCTATATACTGTAGCTAAAATACAATATATTTAAAACTATATATAAAACCCAGGCAACCAGTAGTGGAGCCCTCACTTAAGGAAACTCCGAAAAAGAATAGAGAGCTTTATTAACAAGATATTCTTTCAGCAATTTTTTAAATTTATTTTAATTTTGCTCATTTCTAATTAAATTTGGCAACTGAGTAAAAGATTTGGTGCCCATATATTTAGTTTTGTTTTTATAAAAATGCAGATTATGTTTATCAAAAATAATTTTATTTCGGGTATCATAATGATGCTTGGATTCAAAAAATATATCACTTTCATGTTCTTTGACATACTTTATTGTTTCTAAGACATAAAGACTGTAAACTGTCAAAATTTTAAGATCTTTAAATAAGTTTTCGACACTCTCTGTGCTTTTTAAACCTAACATGATTCGTATTGCTTTTTTTTGTTTTATCAGAATTTTGTCCAAATTATATATTGAGGTAGCTCCATATATACAAATTCCGTATGCTAGATGAGAGTGTAAGAATAATATATTGTTTTCAGCACTGTAAGGTCAGATATTTTTGACATTTGCCACAGTGCATATATTCCTGATGACATCTTTTTCACTACATTATTAACATGATCATTCCAAGATAGATGTCGATCAATGAAAAGTCCTAAAAATGTTGTCTGATTTGCTTTATTTATTGTTATTGCCAACTTTGATTTTTGGATCCAGAGCTATTTTATTCTGTTTTGTGGAGAAACTTACTATCATTGATTTGCTTGTATTTAATAGAAGGTTATTTTGATTTAAAAAATTTTGAATACTCATTAAGTCCAAATTGGCTGAGAGCTCAATATCAGAACTGGAATTTCCTTTAACAATTAAATTAGCATCATCTGCATATAGTGACATCGAACTGAAGCTGGTACTCTTAGGCAGACCATCCAGGTAACACAAAAAAAGTAATGGACCCAGGATGGATCCCTGAGGTACTCCATACTTAATCACCTGAGCTTCACAGACATAGCTTCTTAAATAATTACAATAATTACCATAATCTAGATATTTCATTTCAACAAACTGATGCCTATTACATAAATAAGAGGAAAACCAAGCACACTCTTTTCCTTGAATACCCAGTGATTTTAATCTTTCAATTAAAACAGGGTGTGCCACACTGTCAAAAGCACGGGAGAGGTCAAGGAAAATACCCACTACCCTTTCACCCTTATCAACTGCATCAATTATGTTTTCAATAAATTCAACTGCAGCAGTTATTGTGGACTTCCCTTGCCGAAAACCATGCTGCTCTTTATCTAACAAATTATTCGATTCTAAAAAGTTTACTAACTGATTGTATACTATCTTTTCAAATATTTTTGAAAAGGATGATAGCAATGAAACAGGTCTATAACAAGTTATATCTTTACGGTCACCTTTTTTAAAAATAGGGATAACTTTTGAAATTTTAAATTTATCTGGGAAATGACCTGAGATGAAAGATGAATTATTTACCTAGTATTATACTTGACGTATCATGTTTAAGAAGATGCTTAAACATCACTATTATATTTTGCTACAGTATTTGAACAATTTGAGTTAATTTTTCTCTAAAATTAGGTAGGAAAAATTAAAAATAGTCGTCACAGCCGAAAATCCTGTTTTATCCCGCATCCCGTTTTAATCCCGCTCAAGGTCCAAATATCCCGTTTTCGGGATAATAATCCCGCGAATGGAAACACTGCAACTAACTCTAGCTAGATCTATCTGTCTCTAATCTAAGGGAAGACTGGAGTTGGTTGGAGTGGAGGCACTAGCCAGCCAGTAGAGACCAGCCAGTGGTGTTGTGGATTCATTGAATCTTTCTTTCATTCCCATATCTCGTTAGCTTATAAAAAGCTACCTTGATTGAAACAATATGTAGCCACACTGTAGAATGGACCCGTGGGGTCCCAGACGGTCATCATCCCAAATGGTCGAAACTAAAATATTCCCATTTGACAGATACAATATTCCATATCCCATATAGTCGACAACACCAGCCAAACGATCATCTGGGACCCCACGGGCGTAGTATAGCACGGCCACCTTTAACCACAGGCCACGGCCTGGTAGAATTGGCAACGTCGCAAGTGGTGTTGTTTCACGGCCGCCTTTAACTCCAGGCTGCGGCCTTCGAAGTGGCAACGTTGCAAGTGGTGTTGTAACAGCTGTTTTGTTTGGAAGCAGCTAATGTTACGAGTGTAGTTATTTGGGTATTTACGAAAGATTGGTTACTGGACTATGACAATATTGACTCCGCTTAAAATGTACAGATATACATTTTTAATTCATATTTTTTGGTTTTCAATTCTGTATGTTTTATTTTCAATATTTCAATAAATTTATGTTCATAAATTTAAATCAATAAAGTGCGAATTAATAAGCTGATGTCACCTGTCTGTCAGGTTTTCTTTTATTGGATGTCTGTCACTAAACAACACCACTTGCGACGTTGCCAATTCTACAAGGCCGCGGCCTGTAGTTAAAGGTGGCCGTGGTTGATTTAGTGACAGACGTCCCAAAAAATGTGGCAGACAGGTGACATCAGCTCATTAATTCACACTTAATTGATTTAAATTTAAATTTATGAACATAAATTTATTAAATTATTGAAAATAAAACATACAGAATTGAAAACCGAAACAATATGAATAAAAAATCTATATCTGTACATTTTTAAGCGGAGTCAATATTGTCATAGTCCAGTAACCAATCTTTCGTAAATACACAATTTTATAATTAGCTGCTTCCAAACAAAACAGCTGTTACAACACCACTTGCGACGTTGCCACTTCAAAAGCCGCGGCCTGGTACAATTGAAAACGTCGCAAGTGGTGTTGTCTAGTGCCAGACGTCCCATAAGATAACGGCAGACAGGTGGCACCAGCTCATTAATTCGCGTATTATTAATTAAAATTAAAATTTATGAACATACATTTATTGAAAGATTGAAAATAAAACATGTAGAATTGAAAACAAAGATAATACTGTATTTAAATAGAAAATCAATTTTTGTACTTTTAAAGAGGAGTCAATATTGTCGTAGTCCAGTAACCAAGCTTTCGTAAATGCACAAATACCATTGGCTGTTGCCAAAATAAACAGCTGTTACAACTTACAACACCACTTGCGACGTTGCCAATTCGAAGGCCGCGCGCGGCCTGGAGTTAATGCTGCCGTGGCTGGAGTTAAAGGTGGCCGTGGCTGAACTCCGCTGACTCCGGGCAGCGGAGCGGAGCTGCCGAGTGCCGATCCAGTAGTTATATATCGATGCCTCAGCCATGCACAGAATGCTCTCATTGCTCTCAATATGTCCGTATTAAAAAACTGCAACTGAAATAAAAATTGTGCTTCCCGGCTTCCGCTTCCGCTGTTCCGCTGACCGCTTTTCCTACTTCTTTCCTCTCCTCCTCATATAGCCTAGCTTCTTCTTCTTACAGCAGCAGCACTGCACTACTGCACTAACTAAAACTAACTAGTTAGTTAGAGGTTAGAGCACTAGCAAAGCAACTAGCAGCTCGGCATTGACAACCGGCAACGGCAATTAATAACAGTTAACACTAACAGTAGTATCGTTGTTCATCGTTTCAATACAGTAACACATATTTGAAGGTAAGAAATCCCAGCTTAGATTTGTAGAAATTTAGTTACCTAGGCCTATGTTTTTCAAAATTATGACTTACTAGCCATATAATTATCATCATAGGCTAGTGTAGCTTAGGTACTGTACTTGACGATAAAAACAGGGTTCTAGCCTAGGTGATTTAGGGCATCTAAGTTAAGTTAACGAAGATTCAAATGTTGTATTGTACTGTCATGTTGTGGCCAGTATCAATCTTTCCAAAAATAAAATATTTTAAGAAGCATAGCCTTAAGAAATTTGAGATAAAAATCACTAACATTTATGCTAACCTAGGCTAGGCCTAAGTTAATACTGTGAACCGTGATGATTAGGCCTACAATCGTGAGCTACTGATGTAAGTTAATAATTTCTAGACTCGGTAATAAGTTAAACTAGGCCTAACTTAGAGATGTGACGAGTCGAGTATTTCCTTGACTGGAGTCAACTCAACTCACGACAAAGTTTATGTTAACTCGAATCACGACTAACTTGTAAGTTATGTCAACTCGAGTCAGACTCACCTCGATAAGTATCATCGGGTAAGTTTGCTAGTCGGACTCGTTTCGTTCTGAGTTTGTGTAGCTTCGCCAATCTCCGAACGAGTTTGTATTGAATTCGAGTTTGGAATGAGTTGGCTCTTGCTTGATTCGAGTCAGTGACTCATCAATTCAACTCTTCACATTACTAGAATCAACATAGTTATATAAGCTTAAGTTAACTTACCTATCAGGTTTTCTGTGTAGGCTACAAAACCTAGGTCTCCCTAGTACATAGGCTATAGTTGTCAGTAAAATAGTCATAATTCCTAATATTAGATTTAACCCAAGCAGTGGCCAACCGTCGTTTGGTGACGGTTTGACGTTGATGCTTAGAATGGCCAGCCGTCGTCTGGTGACGGTATGGGCCGAAATTATTTTAATGGTAAAAAAAAAACACTTATAATCAACTCAGATGAGAATAATATATACACCATTTGAAAGATCACATTCTGAACTTTCGTTTTATTACATAAACCCTGTAGCAGGTATATAACAATGTCACGACGATTAGAAATCAAATGAATTTTTGTTGCCGACCCTTGGGGAACTAGCAAAACACATCTTGTTTGGCATTACCCTGCTCGGGTAATTTTCGTATTGGGATGTTGCGGGTGGTACCACTGGATAGCCATTGATTTTATCTTCATTGTGGTAGTGATATTTTAGAACTAAATATTGAATGGACAACCGAGACGATTTATGAAAACAGCTGTTTTAGAAATTTATAACAAATGGCCAACCGTCGTCAGGTGACTGCATGGAAAATACAAATTACATACAGTGTAAGTTATTATTAGGTACTAGTCATATAATATGTCATTTTGAAGAGGAAGAAATGTAGCTTGTGATAGTGGCAGCCTTGCGCTCAGGGTTATTTTCGGTTTCTCCCACTAAGACAACAAAAGTGTTTCACTACTGACTGTCAAGATCTCGTTCACAAAAGCCTTGTACTCGCCATTGCGTGTTGTTGCCGGTTAGTTTTCGCTCTCGTTTTATCCGCGATTGATTACTAAATTCGTTATTATTTCGTATTTTTTGAGAAATGTGTATATGAGTATATAACAGTAATCTTCATGTATTTTATTATGCATGAATATTTACTGAATAGTGTCAAATTGTGTTCATAGGTTGTATTTTTCTTTTGGTTGTATTTTGAGGTTTTCCGTTTATTTATATTATTATGCCCCTAGCACGTAAAAACAAAAATTTTTACCCAACATGTTATAAATTTGTATGTAGGTTAATTGAATACACTACAAGAGGTTTATGTTGGTTTGAAGTAGCCTAAAAACATTTGGTACAAAAGTTTTATACTAAATACTAGGCCTATGCCTTTGCCTCAGAAAATCGCTAAAATACTAAAACATTATTTTATTTATAAATGAAAAATATTTTTACCATAAACTTTATGACTTTTTTTGATTCTTTACTTCATTAGCTTTACAAACATGTATATATCACTATTAGTTTACACATATATTATATAACCTTTTACAACACAAACTAACACTGTACGGTTTTCAATTTTTTCGGTTCTCCGTTTGTTATTATATTTCGCCCCAAAAACTTATAAAAAAAATATTTTCCTACCATGTTATATTTTTCTATGTAGGGAATTAGATTGTCTACAAAATGTATATAATGAATTTCCCATAAAAAATTTGTAGGAAAAAAATACCGAGGCCGCTTTTGAAATTTCAAAAAAAATAATTACTTTTTTTTCACCTTACATATAACATTATCTAATATTCACTTTAAATACACTAACTCCCCACTTCTAACATTGGCCACTGCTAGGGTTAAGGTAAGGTTCAAATTGCAAAGAATTCAACCATCTTCGTCAACTCGACAATGCATGGATTTGTAATCTTTATTTTAGCCTAGTTTTGGTACACTCTGCCTTTTTTTATTTATCTATTCCAATGGTAAACCGGTAATATTTTATTCCGACGTCGCAAAAGTCGCAAACAAACAGTTTGCTGACTAGTTGCAAAAGTGAAAATTTTTTTTCCCATTTCACGCTGAATCCGAAAATGACGTTTTTAGTTTTCGGAAAAGACCGGAAATTTTTGTTCCGCACCTAACCACAGAAAACGTAATACTATACCCAGAATGCCAACCGCATGGTAAAAAGCATTAAGCGGTTTGAGAGAGCTTTGCCTGTCAATCCGTAGGCAGCGCCACCAGCGTTGCCATGCAATGTCATAGCAACGCTGGTGGTGCTGCCTACGGATTGACAGGCAAAGCTCTCTCAAACCGCTTAATGCTTTTTACCATGCGGTTGGCATTCTGGGTTATAGTAGTACGTTTTCTGTGACCTAACCTAACCTAACTCAACCTAACATAACCTAACCTAACATTACCTAACCTAACTCAACCAAACATATCCTAACCTAACCAAAACCTATCCTAACCTAACCAAACCTATCCTAACCTAACCTAACTCAACCTAACCTAACATAACCTAACCTAACCTAACCTAACCTAACCTAACCTAACCTAACCAAACCTATCCTAACCTAACTTAACCAAGCCTAACCTAACCTAACCGATAGTTTTTCCTCATTTTTTGAATTCGGAATGATTTAATAAAATTCAGATTTTAAACTGGAGCCTCGTGGGAAAAGTTGGTTGCCCTAAAAACTAGACTAGGCCCCTCGTTTTATATCTTTTTTGTGTTATTGACCAACTATAACTAATTTGATTTCTTATAAATTTACAGAATGGCTGAACAAGATTCTCCTGAACCACCAGAATTTATCCAGTTTCTATTCTCAGATAAACCAAAGTTTGATTGTTTCTTCATTGTTGGAGAAGAGAGTTTGGTCAAACCTGTAAGTACATAAAATGACAATATTCAAGATCGAGATCTATAAACTGTGAGACATAATTGATAAGAATTAACATACCGGTATACTATAAAGCTTTAAACCCAATTTATCATATAAATGGCCACATTGATCATTTGGAATTTTTCTTTAATATTATAAAAGTTCTACTGATTTGCAGACAGTAAGTGTTGGTGTTTGGAACTGAAAATATTAATTATTTAACACGTTCACTGCGGCGGCATTTACCAAACAGGCGCTCACCAATGGCGGCGAGGCCCAGGCGAAGCCCCGGTGCGTCACCGAATCAGCGAACGCAATTAGCTTTCCAATATTTCAGTCTGAAGAATCATTAAAGAGCAGCGGTGTGATTGTGCTGCGTTACTCCGAGAGTGGACGTAGCTCACTAAAACACCCAAAGGTAGCAGCACTGCCTAGATCCGTAGCCAGTGTCTTTGTAATGTAGCTCGAAGAGAAACTATTCCCGAAACCGAGGTTAAAGCATGGCCGGACGGTATTTCACGGAAATTTTAGTACCAACCTATACCAAAATAAAACTTACATTCTAAGCTACAGGCTGGCAACGATTATAATGTTCCCCGGCAACAACAAAACTCAAAACGAATCAATGTATTGGAAGGGACCCAATGACTGGTAAACCCGTCACACGCACCTGTGAGTAGTTTCACGTGACAGGTAAACTCGTCACCTGCAGAGAACGTGTTTAGTAGACCTGTTTGGTAAAGTAGGAAACTCTAGTAGGCCTTGCCAACACTTGAAAATTGCTTGACTCATAACACTTTAAAACGTGAAAAATTATTCTGACTCTTTGGCTTCTTCAACTTTATAGATCCAATTTCTCCGGCAGTCCATTGTGATCTCAAAACTGTAGATGGACTGTATTGCACACCCCGTGGGTTCCCAACATCAGACTTGGATCTAGGCAAATACGGTGAAGCGTCATTTCTTGATATTGATGGTGATGTAGACTCCTGAAGAATAGGCCAAACTCTTTGAAAGTTTAAATTCATTGTGCTCCATCGTTCTTTTGAAAGTATGACTACTTTTTTCTGCTTCTTGTTGATGTCCCTCAATAGTCCTTCCAACTTCCTCTTTCACTTTCCAGGATGATTTTCATCCTCCTCTACCTCAATTGGCCTTAGATGGTCTGCATGGCAGACTCTTGTTTTGCCAAGAACACTAACCAAATATGTAACTGGACTTTTACACTGTAATATACGACCTGAGACCCAACTAACTTTCTCCTGTCTGACCGTTTTAACCAACACCTTCTGATTTTCATTAAAAAATCTACAAGCACCTCTAAGCCTATCTGAGGCTCGTTTCCGCATTTCCTGCTTCTTCCTTGACTCGTCTAGTAGATTAGGTTTTAACATAGTCAATATTGTCTGAGGTTTCCAATGTAAAAACAGCTCAGCCGGGCTCAACCGTTTACTGACGATGGAGTATTACGATATGCGAAAAGAAAGTTATCCAATTTATACTACAGTGACGTCTGCTGTGATGATTTTTCAAACCAAAACTTGCCTTAACAAACCTTTCTTAACTTCTTGAACAGAACGCTTGGCTGCTCCATTGGAGGCAGGGTGATATGGTGGAGAAATTGTTGGTTTCACACCATTTTTCCTAAGAAACTCCCTGAACTGGCTGGTAAAAGATGTGCCGTTGTCACACACCAACTCCTCAGGTAAACCATAAGCAGCAAATAGTGTACAAAGTTTCTCAATGGTCTTTCCCGTGGAAATAGAACCCATTAAAAATTCTCTTTGAAAAACTATCCATTACAATCAACATTTGCTGTCCAAAATTAGTAAACACATGGTGTCCCCCAGGGATCTGTGCTAGGCCCACTCCTCTTTATCTGCTATGTAAAAAATATTGCACAAACACTCAAAAAAATACCACAAGACAACTTGGTGTTGTATGCTGATGATTCAAATCTGAAAGTGTCAGCGCAAACTGCCGAAGATGTTGAAATCCTATCTTGCCTAGAGTTAGCTAATTTAACAGACTTCTTTAACAATCATAAATTAAAATTAAATCCATCAAAAAGTACTTTTGTTTCCTTTAAGATTGCTCAGTGCAGGAGAAAGTTTGAACCTACAATTACAATTGACTCTAAGCTAATAGAAATTGAAAAGTCTACTAGATTTTTGGGGTTGGAAATAGATGAGAATTTGAACTGGAATCGTCATGTTGAAAAAATCCTTCCTAAAATTAACTCAGGAATATTCGCCACTGTTTGAGGATTTTTTAAACTTTTAGTCATAGTCATAGTATTAGGTTTTGATATGACACTATTCTCATGTACTATGTGTGCATATTGTGAATAAAGATGATTTGACTTTGACTTTGTCTGGTGGTTGGATCTTCAGCAAAATCGATATGAATTTGGCGCCATCTCTCGGAAGTTTCACAGCATTTCTTGTACTTTGACAAATCAAACAAAATAACACAGAATCCTCAAATACTTTTTCGACCCCATGCCACCACACGAAGGCTGCGTGCCAACAATTTCATTCCAGTAATTCCAGGATGTTGTTCATGATGCAATATCTGGATGACTTTACCTTGCAATTTCTTAAATATGATTACTCTACTGCCCCATAAAAATGCAATTTTTATCCACTGACAATTCATCTCTTCTTCTCTGGAATGGAATTAACATTGGATCTACAATTTCACACCACCCATACAAGATAAAATCCCGAACTTTAGACAACAGGGTCAATCCATATCAAGTGATCCAGAAATAAAATAATTGGTTGCTTGACCACTTTTAAAATAAATAATATTTTTATCCTAGATACCTCTATCAATTCTGGGTTCAAAAGTGATGAAACAAAAAGCATATTAATCTGGAAGAAACAGCCTAAATATTATGTTCAGTACATATTTATTGAAATGTGTATCAAAAACCGTTTTAAACCCATCTCAACATTTCATAAGAAAACGGAAAAATTTCAACTTTTGAAGGCGTATTACCATTGGAACGAATAAAATCTCAGACTTGATTTTTTTTGTGTATAGCAACTCAGTTTTTTGCAAATTTCAAAAACTGAAATTTTTTGAAAAATTCAAATGTTGAGTCTCAATATCTTTGTTGGGACAAAGTTTAAAAATCTTAAATTTTTACCAAAAACTCCTCTTATGGTTGTTATACTGCTGTATGAATTTCATCTTTGAGATTTACTTTTAAGCTAAGTTACAGTATCATGAAAATTGCAAAAAACCCATAAGCTCAGCCAACGCGGCTAGTACCGTATGTAGCTTAAAGATTAATTTATAGGTGTAGGTAATTATTTTATTTAATGTAAACTTATCTTAATGTACATTTCAAAAATCCAATACAGATTTTTGACTTAAACTTTGTACCCAAAGTACAAATTATATGTAAGGTACTAAAAATAAATAAAATCCTGCTAAATTTTAAGTTTTATTCATCATTTAGCTTAAATAAAACGTAAGTCAATTCTATTTATATTGAGGTCTTAAAATGTATTTTCCATTTAGATTTAATGTACCGTAACCTGTAACACAAAAGTGTTTATTGTAATATTTTGAAAAGGAATAACTCATATTCTGTGGGAACTGATACAGTCTCCAGTACCTACAGGAAGTCGTAAATGAGTCACAAAACACAGTTTTTCTTAACAAAATAAATCATTTTCATAACACATGAAGAAACCACTCAACACCACAACAGACTCCTGGACCAATTTGAGAACTGTTTAAAGATTACTGGAACAAGAAGCCTTCATTATTTTATTCCTGTACCGGACAGTAGTAATGTTAGGTGCTTCATAACCTCACTAGCAACTGAATATGAAGTTCATTCAACCTCAAAAGCTGTAAAAATTACACTTCATACCAAAGACTCTATTGCATTTGTGTATGACAGTGGTGAGTGGCAGAGGTGATTGACATCAGTTACTAAAATAAAGATCCAGCAGGACCAACAACCGCCTTTAAAACAAATGAGAAAGACCAAGCTTGGGTGCCTATAAACAAAAGTTTTGAGAAAATTAAATCTCTTTTAACTGACAAAAACCACTGGAAGGACAAACCCAAACTGAATGAAGAAACATCCAAACTTCTTAATTAACATAATAGAAGTAGAACAAAAAACACTAAGAAGTAAAAATAGTTGTATACAATTCTTGAAGAACTTGTCTTTCAAACAGCTTTTGTATGTGAAATTTATAATATTCTTTATCTATATATTAATGCGCAAGCAGGTTTCTTTTCACAGTCATAACTCGATAACGGCTGGACGGATTTTAACGTTTGAAGTGTCAAATTTTCATGTAGATGTGCAAATACGTCTCAGAATATCAAGAAAGGGCAGCACTTAAGTACAGTTAAGGGCTAAAGTTTGGGAATGGCGGCGCTATCTGTTGACAATAATTCAAACCAACAAACTCAATTCCCTTTGTTTACAACTAAACATATGGACATATGGTAGCTTGAAATAGTTTTTAAGTTTAACCACAGACTGTAGGACTTATTACTTCCAGAGCAAAGCTGGAATTTTATATTTTTTTTAAATATCTGTTAACTAAGTCTATCGTATTTTACTGAATTATCATGTAGTTTTGTTTACAGTTCGGTGTGATTATGTGAATGTTTGAAAGTGATTATTCACAGTGCAGTTACCCTTTACATTACCATATTATCATGTAATTTACAATGTGTATCAAAATTCCTTTTAGTGTTTTCTGTTGATTGGTTAACTTTCGCATTTTATCTAAATTTAAAATTAAATGCCACAAGAAATACGAAGAACTGTGAGTGGCTGGAGGGAACGCAAACGTGACCGCTTGCATCAACCTCCCAATTTGACGGATACAGAGTGGCAGTACCACCGTTGGGATACATCTAACCTCGGACAAATTAACATGTCGGCCTCAGTCACTAACAAGACTACAAGATCGCGCCACTCATCCTACACTCATCCTTCACTCATATTAAAATATACGTTAAAATACGCACATAGTGGGGTCCCCATCTTAAATAATTGATAATTGATAACGTTAAATATTTACATTGTGGTGGCTTACATTGTAAGCAAGAAAAGACTGGCCGAGACAGTTCAATTTTTACTCTTTGTTGCCATAAATTAAAGGTTTGGTCACCTCATTTGCGGAATTCACCATACTTTCAGGAACTTATTGGAAACTCCCAATCTGAAAACAGGGCTATGAGGCTTGGATCCAGAAATTATCTGGATAGAATTCGTCAATTCAATTCCGCCTTTGACATGGTCAGCTCTGAAGCTAATTTTGACGAGAGGGTCGCACAGGGGATCTACAATTTCAAGATCCATGACACGTTTTACCACTGAGTAGGTAATCTAAGAAGGTCATGATCCTGAATACCCACAGATCAAAGCTGTGGCAGAAATTTGTAGGGACGAGAGCTCCGAGGAGTCAAGTTAGATTCTTAAGTGCATAGTAAGAGACAAAATAAGTGACTTCCCTTGCTACAATGATGCTACCTGTATAGACGTCGCAGAGCACCACCTGTCCAAATAAATCTTTGTTTTTTTTTTCAAAAACGAATAGTGTCAAACGTGAATCCGTTCTACATACGTCATTAAATCCACTCTTATGTTCCAAACCGGATATTTTGGTTGGGGCACCTAATTTAAACACGCCTAAAACAGAACATATCGTAGAAATAATTTAACAATGCTATAGTATGTGTCGTACTGGTTGGCGTCAAGAGAGGGATTTAGCTTGCTACATTAGGTTTGAAAAGCTCACTTTACAGCACAGCTTTACAGTGTGTGGTTGACATCTACGTTCTCATAGAGGACACCCGCCCACAGTACATAAGAGATAACCAAAGCAGTATGAGAACGGATCTATATTTAAATATTTTACCGTAGATTACTTTTATAATTTTTTACAACATAATATTTTTCACATTTTTTAATTACTTTAGAGCGACTCTATGATTGAGGTTTTGCTGTTTATGTTTTTTGTTCTTCATTATTTTATTACAAGTTGCAGTTTTGCTCGATTTCGAGCAACATGCTATCTAGTTAAAATAAAAGTGGTTCAATAAATTTATAAATGAGCTAAAAATATTTAGGCCTATTGGAAAAAAATGTGTAAACCTGAATGAAAATAACCTGATAAAAAGTTTTTTTTTTATTTCACAAAGACAAGAAATTTGACAGAAAAGACTATACATTACTTTAAAGTAAGTTAGGTAAGTTTACATTAAATAAAATAATTGCCTACACCTATAAATTTATTTTTAAGCTACCTTCAGTACTAGCCGCGTTGGCCGAACTTATGGGGTTTTTGCGATTTTCATGATACTGTTACTTAGCTTAAGGTAACACAGTACCTACTCAAATATAAAATTTTATAATTTTTTTTTTATTTAGTTTTGTAGAACAGACTTTTCTGAACATGTAGATAATAAAAATTGAGGAAGGAAAAAAATATTTTTAAAATTTTCAGCTACTTTTATATTAACTATTGCAGCCTAATTTAGCAGGTCCAAGGTCCTACTACTAATCAAGACGCAGAGGGTACACCGTCAAATATAAAATTTTTAAAAATTTTTATTATTTAGTTTTGTAGAACACACTCTCCTGAACACGTACATACCAAATATTATGGAAGAAAAAAATATTTTAAGCTATACAGCGACTTTTATACACTCTTACTTTAGCATGCCCAAGGGTCCTACTACTACCCTTGACAGGGGGTACTTTTGTCGTTTTGCGAAAGTCAAGTGGTTTTTAGTCAGGTACACTTTTCTTCCTCAATTATAATCCAATTTCAATAAAAATTGGTGTGTGTGTTCCTCATATGATAAGGAACAATAATACAAATCAGTTTCCATGAAAACCAAAAACCTTTGAAATAAAAAATATTTTATGTTAAAAAATTACAAAATATTTTATACAATTTTTAAAATCATACTAACAATTTAATTTTGCTCAAAAACTTTTTTTGCTTCATATTATTGTTGGTAATAATGTATTAAACTTAGTACAAAAATTTCAAGTTAATAGGTTAATATTTGTAAAAGTTATGTGTACCTAAAAACTGTCATTTTAACATGGGCGGGATAGGGAGTACTGTGTCACCTTAAAAGTAAATCTCAAAGATGAAATTCATACAGCAGTATAACAACCATAAGAGGGGTTTTTGGTAAAAATTTCAGATTTTTAAACTTTGTCCCAACAAAGATATTGAGACTCAAAATTTGAATTTTTCAAAAGATTTCAGTTTTTGAAAAATGATAAGTCTCATGGTTGATGTTTGAAATACAGACAGTTCTAACTTACTGAGTTGCTACACACACAAAAAAAATCAAGTCTGAGATTTTATTCGTTCCAATGGTAATACGCCTTCAAAAGTTGAAATTTTTCCATTTTCTTATGAAATGTTGAGATGGGTTGAAAACTGATTTTATACACATTTCAATAAATATGTACTGAACATAATATTTGGGCTGTTTCTTCCAGATTAAAATGCTTTTTGTTTCATCACTCTAGTGTTCATGGTTACCGAGTTATGCAAGTTAACGCAAACCCTTACATGAGCGAAAATTTGTGTGTTCCGCAAAACAAAAATGGCCGCCGTAGGAGTAACAAAAGAGATCAAAAAATTTAAAAATCACTTTTGAACCCAGAATTGATAAAGCTATCTAGGATAAAAATATTATTTATTTTAAAAATGGTCAAGCAACCCCTGATGGATCACTTGATATGGATAGACCCAACAGTGTGTCTTTATCAGGCAAATGTCCTATCTCTAAAGAAGTGATTGGAGAATCGTCACCCCCGATCTGAAGAAATTCATTTCTGTTACACAAGATTCCACATGAGATACATCATTTTCATTTAACTCCAAAGTTTCACCCTCGGGTAGTGGTAAGTGTGACAACACATCAGCGTGAGGCAAACTGGAACCCTTCCGATATTTTACCTCGAAATTGTAGGCAGACAAAATCAGGGCCCATCTTGTTCAACTTAACTAGTAAGGCACAGGCCTAAATTTGCAAACCTTAGGAACAGCATTGTCCTTGTGAGTGACTTGAGCCTTTACACCTTTTATTTCTCCTGGCCCCCCTTGAAACACTGCATTGTACTTTTTCTTTAAGGCCTCTACTTTAGCCTCAAGTTTAACACTAGGCAACACAACTTTACAATTAGGTTGCTTCAATTCACATGTAGTAACATTCATTGTAGACTTAGATTTAGTACCAGTAGTATCATACGATCTTGAAAATACAGCATGCCAATCCAATTTTAATTTCGCTAACCAGTTCCTTCGTAGCAAAATAGGCTGGTCTTTACGACAAACCTCAACAATCAACAGTGGTAACACTAGGATCTGGGTTTTATGTAAAACTCTAACCTCAGCTTGACCTAGAACAGGCACTTCATCGCCTGTGTAAGTTCGCAAACTCATAGAAACGGGCTTTAATTCAATTTGAGAAAAATGTTCATTAAAAACGTCTGAAGGACAAACTGATACAGCTGATCAATTTCCATCTCCACCAGAACCTTCTTTATAGTTAGCCTTACCTTGTAAGCTGCTATACCATTGTTTAAGCCAAAGTTGTACAAATGCACATTATATTTGAAACTTCATTGCAGCTTGAGCTAAGTTCATTGACATCATCTTCGGAGTAACACTTAAATTTACATTAATATTAGTCATACCAGCACCACTAGCTGAATTGAACTGACTACCAGCCAGTCTATTTTGAATCACATGTGAAAAATTGGGCTTGGAATTTAAATGACAAATTTCCTGTTTTGGATTTAACAAACTTGTCTGTTTTTCAGCCTGCTCTAATCTGAGTGCCAAACTATAATCTTCATCAAATTCTTGATCCACAGACAATAATTTTTCCCTTATGACCCATTACTTATCCCTGAAATATGCTTGTCTCTAAGGGCCTCTTTTAAGAATGTACCAAATTTACATGAACTAGCTAAACGTTAAATCACTACAACAAACTCTGAAATACTCTCACTAGATTTTTGCACACAAGAATAAAAAGTGTATCTCTCTGCTACCACCAATTTCTCTGGAGAAAAATAGTTCTCAAGCACTTTATCTAACTCTTTATAACTTTTTTAGGATTTTTTGAGAGGATAGCAGGCTTACCTGAATGGGAAAGAGTCCAAACTGGCACAGGAAACACAAAACAAAACTTTACACTATATACACAAAACATTAGAATATTTCACTGTCACTGACAGCATTTTCAACTAAGGAAGAGAGAGTTTTCTAGATGTCCAAAATGGTGGCCAGTGAGTTGTTGAGTCAGTGTTGCCAATAGTATGAATTCAAAAAACACAGTTTCAGTTTATCTTATATGCACTATATATATATGAATAAATAAATATGTAAGCCTGCTAGTTGGGTTGGATGGAAGTGGAGTGCGTTAGATGAAAGGTATTATCTCAGGCCCTTGTGCTCTATGCTACACCCTTAACCTCTTTATAACTTTTGATATCTACAGCTGCAGGTGAAACTAAATCAGACAAAATCGTTAAAACTTTTGGGTCTACTTTATTAAAACAGAAACTTTAGTATGGTCATCAATCTCATTAGCTTTGTAATAATGCTTAAGCCTCATTGCTAGTGATGTAAAATACCTGGGTATTTACCCGGGTAAATACCCATAATCCAGAAATACCCGGGTATTTTGGGTATTTATGAAATCGATTGAAATTAATTCATATTTACCCCTAAATATGTTATTGTTATCATTACATGATAAATTAGGGTAGTCTATAACACCTTTTACAGTAACTTGAAGCTTTGCTAGTACCTTTAATTGAATGATTTAGCACTTTTCCTTATGAAATCAAGACAACACCTCATCAAAGAAATAGTGAACCTAAACCTACTTCTACTGTTATTAAATTATGATAGTTAAAATTTGTATCGTGTAAATGGCTTGGAAGGCTAGACAGACCCAAAGCCTGATTGATATAGGCAGAATGGCAGAATACTGAAAGTACAGTAGACTCCCTCTCATCCGGACTCCTCGGGACCGAGGCTAGTCCGGATAACGGGTTTTCCGGTTAAACCGATGTCCCCAAAAATTTTTTGTATCACAAGTTTATGAAATTAGTTTTTTTTTATACCATTGATAGCAACAAAAGATCTAGAACAAAAATATTATTAAATCCTGCCATCCTACAGATTGAATTTTAATTATTTTCTTAAGTTGTTTACACATAGGCCACTACTAGGTTAAATTTTCCTGTTTTTCTAAATAATAACTATTACTTTACTAATTATTTTTCTTCACTTTCTATCAAATAAATTCATCTATCTATCATTGAAATTTAAAAAAAAAATTATAAGTAGTCAGGACCAGTGCAACCATGCGACCAGGGTATTTATGCTTTATGCTCAGACCTGGGTATTTATGGCGATTATACCAAGAAGTAAAATGCTAGTAGTGTCCATATGAAATTTTGTTAAACACATTTTGTTATCATTTTACTATCCTTACAGGGTAATAATTGCAAAAAAACATCTCAATCTTCTCTAACTTTAATACAAATTATAAATACCCAGTTTTTGGGTATTTACCCGGGCCTGGGGTAAATACCCAGGTAAATACCCAATTTATATTTACCTACCAACTGGGTATTTACCCGGCCCACATCACTACTCATTGCATATGATTCAATGAACTCATCTTGTGGGTTGAATCAAGTTGAATTCAACAACTTTACCTAGTCCTGCCATCTTAGTCTTTAAGTTTACCTCCCTTTTTTCTGGAAATTTAGATTTTTCTTCTTCAGGATTCTGGTATATTTAAAAAAAAAACTTTACATTTACTAGACTCACTATCACTCGGATCGGGGTCCGTTTAACTCAACTGCGCCATTGTAATATTTTAAAAGAACATGATAAAATCTAGTGCATTCAATTTATCCTCCATTTCAATCACAACTGAATTAATTATTATTGTTATTTAAACAAACTTAACAATCAGAATAAAACAAAAGTTTTTAACATCTGGAATTCAAACAAAATTATAAAATCAAATGCTGCTTCTTACACAATTAAGATAAACATATATTACACTCTTTAAACATTCGTGGTGACATTGCTCGCTTTGAAGGCCCTTCGGGGTAACATAGTTTGCTTTAAATAGGTTCCAAACTCGTGTTCCAAATGGGCAGATTTTTGAAATAGCAGGAATGATTTTTTTGCCTCTGGAGACATTAAAGTAAAAGAGTGATTCAATTTCGGGTCTCGTTCTTACGATTTTTTTCTACTATCTAGGCTTTAGTTTTTCACATTACTTCAGGCCACTTAAGATTAAATCCACTGGTATGGTGATTAGCTGGATTTGAACCCAAGACCTCGAGGACTGTGGTCCTGTGATATACCACTAGACCAGCTCGTTCCCCTAACTGACTTACCATGAGACCTACTGTAATACAAACAGTCACATGAATGGGCTTGTAGAGAAAGTATTGCAAACATGTTACAGTCTAGTTTGATTGCAGGAGAGGATTGGAGCAGTGAAGCTAATGTTGATGGCTCACAGTCCAGTGTTCAGGTTAGAACTGGAGGATAGTGGTCTGAGAGAGAAGAATGATGTTCCCTTAAAAGACATATGTACCCGGACACCTTCAGAAACGTGCTCAAGTAAGTAAATGTCTGACATTTTAATTTATCTATCATCCTCCTATGTTTTCAAGGCTATAACTCAATACCATGGCTACTAGGTTACTAATATGCCACTCAACTAAAATATATAGCCTACATACTATTAATAAAACCAGATATAACTCAATCTAGAATTGAGACTTAATGTCTTGTGTAGAATGTTGAAATCAATTCTTAAATGTCTAATGGAATTTGGTTTTGGATAGCTCTAGTCATTCAAATAGAGTATTGTTAAAAAAAAATATGTCTAATCATAGGGACAGGTCCTAAAATAGTTTAGGCCTAACTAAAATATATTCTACCAACAGGATCATGGAATTACTGTGCCATTGTCAGCAAAAGAAATACTATAGTGGCTTGTAGGGGTAAAGGTCCCTTAATACTTGTTGTAAATAACTATGAAGAAGGAGGTTCTTCTTTAACTATTTTTATTACTTTTATGATAAAATTATTCAAGAAACTGATAGAAAATAGAATTTAATGAGCATGACAAAAACATAAGTGTATGCATTATAAAAACCAGGAATGAACTGTTAGGTAACCATAGCAACTCATTTAAACAAAACCAAAGTTATACTTTTATAAAAAAAACAAATAACTGTCCAGCTGGTTTTCAACAGTATTGAAGCACTCACCACAGTACTGATGGTAAGCACGAACAAGATCTATAGTAGAGAAAACTTTTTTACCGTGCAAATTTAGAGAAAAGTCCTGAATGTGAGGAATAGGGTAGCGATCAGGAATGGTTCTGGCATTTAGGGCTCTGTAGTCTCCACATGGTCTCCATTCGTCTCCTTTTTTGGGAACCATATGAAGAGGGGATGACCAGCTGCTAGAAGAAGGTCTAGCTATTGTAATGACTCAAAATTCAATGTTTATAATTATAGTCCTTATTTTATTTTCAAACTCAATCTTGTTATATTTTCAATATTTATCCATGTCCATTTTTAATATTATTAAAACCATATTGTCTCAACATATATATAATTTACTATCAAAATTTATTCATTGGCTTATCCAAAATTATTATTCAAAAACAAATCCTCCAATCAGAACACCATCCATCTGGGTTCAAGATTATTAATAAAATTCAACCATGTTTTTATTGATGTGAACCCCATAACTTGATATGATTTACAACAATGAAAAGGAGAGTGCAGTTTAGCTATTCAAGACTAGCTGTGTACCCGTTCTACGCACGGGGATCTTATAATATTCAGTTGAAACCTTCTTATATAACGAACAGCAGTTGGTTTGCATATTTTAAGATATGCTGGCCAAACTATTATACATAGCTTCATTTTATGTTGTTTTTTGTTGTTCCGGATCGGTATGACAATCAATAAAAGGTTAAATTACCTCTGTGTCTGCCGGTCGATCCTATAACGGTAGGCTTACTTTTATTTTTACTATCTGATCTCGTTTGCATGGCTCAATCACGTCCTGGTTAAAGTTCGTTCGCTACGCTCACTCACCTGTATGTTGGAGCTCGTTCGCTGCGCTCACTTTCCTTCAGGTTAGCTCGTTCGCTACGCTCACTTGCCTTCAGGTTAGCTCGTTCGCTACGCTCACTCGCCTCCAGGTTGCAAATTAGCTGTTGTCATAAATGTAAAAGAAATAATAGTGCTAGTGCTGCACCCTGTTGGTAATCCTTGTAACTTTAATGCTATTGAACATCACAGAACAGAACCAACTTGTTTAATTGAAACAGCTGTTAAGATTCAATAATTTCATTTCTCATAAGGTTAACATGGGCTTCCAGAAATTCCACGTCAAAAATCGACAAAAACTTGATTTTCAAGGGTTTACTGTTAAATATCTAACTGTCTCATATTCGATGAAATACGTCTAAAACCATCTCATATATGTATAGTATTTGGAAAATAAGTTTCAGGCGGGACAGTGCTATAGTTATTGAGGAGTAGTTGTAATAAAGTGCGTATTTTAGCGTTACCAAGAGAATGACAGATAGACAGACAGACAGACAGACAGACAGACAGACAGAAATTGAGATAAGGTTTGATTCGGTTTCTCTGACCTATGAAATGTAAAAATAACCAAAAAGTTCATTATTCTAAGCAATGTACAGACAAAACTCTAATTTTATTTATATAGAAGAGCACATAGAAACTATATTAGTTGTGAAATAAATTATGAAAATATAAAGTAAAGTATTGGCAAAATATCCAAATTAAGTTAACCGAAGAAAGAAGAATTTAAGCCTTTAAACTAAGAAGAAAATTATTATTACAGAAGATTGGTGAGAACATTCCATTTATTAACTCAGACTAACTTATAGACTCCTCAAGCATCCATTTGGACCCTATTTACCTCCATTAATTAAAATCAAAATCCTTCCTATTTAATTTATTGTTTTTGAAAGATTATTAAATTTATAATTTACCATACTCATTGAAAATTTAAATTGGAAATCTTTTGATTCGGCCAGCACGAATCCCCACCCCTGAACAATTTTTTTGTAACCCTATATTAATCATTTAACTTATGTACCATTAAATGAAGAAGTTCATGCTTTAAAACCTCTGTCCTCAAATTATTATTGTTTAAGATAAGATTAGAATACAAACCATATTAAGGGTTTATTTCAATGGCGCCCAACGTAATAGGCTTGAATCAAAAGATTTCATAATCGTATGTTGAGACAATCTAAAATAGGCTAATAAATACCAATAGGCTAATAGGCTACTTACGTATGTTAGGCCTACTCTTAAGAAGTTAGGTAGGATTAAGAATCCCGATTTCCCACAACTTATGTCCCACCAATATTAGGTACTAACTAAACGACTTGTAATTCTAAAAATAAATAGGCTACTATAAGGTAAAACAGATTTATTTCATGTCGTAAAGCTTAGGCCTAGCTCATTATTGTTATAACGATACCCAACTTGTCCTATAATATCCCTGTTCCCTTACACCGTCGTAAACAAAATGGCTAACAACGATAACGATAATCACTATAATTTGAGACAACCGAGACGTTATCCTGCATTATCATTTCAACAACACGAATCAGACGAATCGTCAAATCTGTCAACAGAAGAAATGGAAAACCTAACCTATGTAGAAGGCCAAGATGAATCTAACACCGGTTCGGGTTCGGAACGTTTCAATCCCAGTGGACCCAGTGTCGAAGATTTGAACCGGAACGAGAGCGACCAATCAGAATCAACGGACCGGGCCGAGATTATTGAAGTACACCAAAGACCCGCAGCCAATCAAAGCACACATTCACAGTCAGCTGATATTAGAACCACATCGACACACGGAATCATCCGAGGGTTAACGAAGACGCCCGAAGCAAGTTTACAGCTGTTAGAGACCGAGTCTCCGACCATTGAAAACCGTCCCAATGACGTAATACCAACGTTCACACACGCAACTTCTCAACCACCTGAAGTTAAAGCTACGCAAACTACTGAACAACCGGATTTGAACAAAATATTTAATTTTCTAGAACAGTTTAACACTAAACTTGATCAAACCAACACACAACTAAACCAAAAATTAGATCAGACCCGAATAGAGCTAAACCGTGAGATAAAATCATGTCAAAAAATTCTAACAGAACAAATAAATGACATTAGAACAACACAAAGTGAATTTCGCCAGGAATTAAATGTCCTAAAAGCTAACCAACAGTCCCAAAATCAAGAAAACAAAGAATTTCAATTTCAAATCACAAATCAAATTGACGAATCAAAAATAAATATCCAGACATTTGTAACTAATAACTTGGAACAACAAGAACAAAAGTTAGAACAAAATATGAAAGCATTAGTGCTACAAACAAAAACCGACAGTGAAAATATTGCTAAATATTATGCACAATCCATCCACAATGAAATTGTTCCTAAATTACACATACAAAATAATCTTATCCAAGAACAACAAAACGAAATTAAAACTATTACTGAAACTCTAAACAAATGTGAAAGTGAAGTACAGTCACTAAAACTGAAACATCATTCACCAATCCGGAACGACAATCCTATTCAAATCATATGTTCGGGATCTGACCCAATGGAAAGACAAATCCCTAAATTCAATGGAAGAACTATAAATCCAAATGAATATCTACAAAAACTTAAACGGTTCTACACTAAAAGGATAGAAAGAAATCCTAATAACGACCCTGTTGAAATTCTGAAAGATCTGCTCGACGTCAGTTTTGAAGGACCAGCGTCCAGATGGCTTCAACTGGTTAAGGCAGACATTAACAGTTGGGAAAGATTCTCCGAAGAATTCACCATGAAATACTGGAGCCGTGAAGTACAAAGAGGAGTACGTAGCAAGATTGAAGCCGAACATTACAAACCTAATGGAACGCTCAACAGAACTGAATATTTTACTGAGAGAGTCCTATTGCTACAGTCTATTACACCACAAATGACTGAAGAGGAAATAGTGATCCTGTTAAGCGAACGATTTGATCAACTCATCCAAGATAGCATTCAAGTACAGAACGTGACAACAATTCGAGCATTCGAAAGACTTCTGCAAAAAGAAGATATCCGAGATGGACCCAAAAGGAGCAAACCTGCGAACTACCATAATATGGATCACCGACCAAATAGTCCTACACATCGTAACAAGACTCCACCATATAGCTCTGATATTAACCATCGAGCCTATCAACCAAAAACATCATCTTATGCTATACGGACACCACACCAAGAACATCAAGAACCTAGAGAACACCAATATCAGCCATACAACCGTTTCAGACATGATTCTCGCAAAAACTACAATCAAAACCACAGACAGCATCCTTATACCAATACGCTCACTGATCAAAACCGATACCACCAAAGGCCTAATCAATACTATTACAATAACAGCAAACCATATCCTACAAATGAGCAAAAACAAGTATGTGCCATGATAAGTCAAGACAGTCCACATGACACAGCAACACAACAAAGATCTCCAACAAATTTCAACCCCTCATACACCAGCCA